TAAACCACAGAAGGAGACAAATAAGTAAGCATGTACATGTGTAAAATAAGTGTGAGTTTGTATTGATTCTATGATGGAAGCCAAAGAGAACCAAGTATAGAGAATGGCAGGGGAGAAGTGAGGTCAGAAGTCACTTCTCTGAGATGATGATAATTAAACAGAAACTTGAAGTATTAAAAAGAAGAGAGGCTCATGATGTTTCAAACCCATGGAAGGGCAGGTATAAAAACCCTGGAGCAGGAAAGAGACACATTCAAGAGGTTGATAGAATACCAGTGTTCTGGTACCATGGGGACAGCAGTACACTGGGCCTCTAATTTATACATATATATAAATGTAAACTTAAGAGAAAATATAGCAACATGTCAAAAGTGGTATAATTTATCTTTATATTTTCTATGATAAATGCAACCAATAAGCAAAAGGTTCTCTTCTTTTGAGCTCCATAATGCAATGCTTCTGGTTTCCCTCGTACCCTTCTTGAAGCAGCAATGTCTTCTTAGTGAGATTCTGTTCTTCTCTCCTTCTGGTTAACTCACTGTCATCTTATCATTATTTACATTCTTTCTTGGCAATCAGTAATTCCTGACTCAGTTATCAACTCTATGCTGATTACCGCTAAATTACTATCCTCAATCCTGGCTTTTTTTTTCTGAATTTGAGACATATATCCTACTGCACACTGCTATATGTATCTATATCTATATCTATATCTATATCTATATCTATCTATATTCCACAGGAATTTTCGGCTCCATATATCCCAAAATGATCTCATCACCTTCCTCTACTCAACCAGGCAATTCATGCACCTTGTTTTGCCTTCCTATATATATGAATGGCTTATAAAAAAATCTATCTGGTTCCCAAGTAACACTTAAGTGTTGCTCTTAATGTTTTTTCTCTCTAAAGTCAAGTCAAACAATATATCCAGTAGATATTAGTTCCTAAGTGTTCTTCAACTTCACCCCTTTTAAAAAAATATATTTTTTTATTGATTTCAGAGAGGAAGGGAGAGGGAGAGAAAGATAGAAACATCAATGAGAGAGAACCATTGATCAGCTGCCTCCTGCACGCCACCCACTGGGGATGGAGCTGGCAACCCGGGCATGTGCCCTTGACTGGAATCGAACCTGGGACCCTTCAGTCCTCAGGCCAATGCTCTATCCGCTGAGCCATACCAGCTAGGGCCTCACCCCAGCAGTACATTGCCCGGCTCATTGACAAGCCTTACATAGCCCTTCAGCACACCCCTTTGCTGTCCTCTATGGCCGCATCTTCTACCACTCTCTATTCTGCACTTCAGCCAGACTGTTGTTCTGTAATCTTTCCTCCTCCAGGCCTCCACATTTCTCTTCCTAGATTAATTCAGTATCTCCTCCTCCCATTGACCTGCATTCTCTTCCATGAGACTAAAGAGGACTCACTTGCAGGTCTCTAAGGCACACCAGTCCTCCTCTATCCTGGATCTGGTTGGATACTCCTTTATATTTCCGGAGCAATGCAGACTTTCCCCAGGGAAGTGCTTATCACACCCTGTTAAATAAGCACACTTCTTTGTCATCTTCTAAACTATATCAAACAATGTGAGAGCAGGGACATTTGTATCCCCAGTGCAAAGCAGAGTGCATGCTGAGTGTGTGGGACATAGCGACTCTTAAAATATATTTACTAAAATAAGAACCGAATGTACAGTCCCTATGATATCCTAGGGACTGTGCTAGCTGCAAAACAAAGAGAGATAAACAGTTTAAACCCTCAAATTACAAAGAAACTGGTTTCTACAATATATTGTAAAGCGTGCAAAACAGGCATACGCAGAGTTCTGTGGCAATTTATTTTAGTGAATTAATAAATCTGTATGTAGCACTTTCTATGTATTAAACATAATCCTATTTACATGAATGACTATGAGGTAGCTATTAATGATGACACTCTTTGTAGATGTGTGTAAACTGAGACAAAGATAAATAATCTTCCCAATGTCATGTTGTTAGTAATGCAAGGTGTGGCCAGAGGTAGCCTGGCTCCAGAATTTATTATCTCAGCTGCTATGCTGTGTGCCTCTCTCGGGGAAGGGGTCTCTACAACATAACAATTTAATAATACAGGTTTTTTTTTCTAATAGAAAAGTATTGGATGATGAGGCTTCAGACCAATGTGGCCAAGAAAGACTTGCTCTATTTTACATGAGAAGGTCTTTGAGGTATCCCCTCAACCCTTAATAAGTATAGAATGTGCTTTTTAAAATCATTTTAGAAAAATCCACCAATAATGTACTATTTAAAAATCTCCTGAAATATGAATTATCATATGTTACGACATTTACTCCTATATAGTCTACTTAAGAATATATACCTAATTTGATATATATCTATCTTATGAATCCAAAAATACATGTGGTTGCCAACTGTTTCCATCAATATCAACTATTTTACATTTTTATACATTGCCAAACTGCTACCCTGCATTATTTATTGGCTACATTAAGCATTATTGCCGTTACCTTGCTTGGTTATATAAATACATTAGAAATCCAGGCCTTTAAACAAAGTGCTGTAATGTAAGGGATTGGAACTGCCATCTGTGATGGGAGAAAGAAGAAAAAGTTATTTGTTTGCCAGCATGCATAATTAACAGTTCTACCTCAAAGGAATAAAAAACCCTATGTAGACAAATATCCAATTTTCTAAATAACATACAATTTTCATTGAAGGGAACATAACTTTATATACCTTAAAACAATTATTGGTACGTTTAATACATGCCAATATATTACAAATTTTAGCAGGAAAAAAAGATAAGTAATGAAGTAAGGCTATTTATAAAGTCATGATCAATCAGTTAAAGTCATTGTTTATGAAGAAACCAGCTGTTCACTGGCATTTACAATTTGTGAACAAATGTTAATTGCTATCCAATCTGCCAGAATCTCTACTTTTACTAATTACTAATAAGTTACACATTCATATAAAGTTCACTTTCCCAAATCCAAGTTTACTTTCCCAAAACCATATAATATTAAACTCAGTGAGCTGTATAGCCCTGGTAACAACGTGGAAAAAATAAAATGAGTTTTGCATTCTATAAACTGACTAAAGAAGGCAAGCCATGTTTATTGTTTGTTTGTTTTGCATGGAAGAGATAGTTATTTGGTTATTTTAGTCAAATTATTTTTGAAGGTTCAAATTAAAATATTCTCTTATACATGACATCTCCTTAATAAAGACATTTTGGTATTTTGGTAAGGAATCTCCACCATGGGCTATGGCACACAGATACTTCCTGGCTATAGCTATTAAAACGTATCTATATTTCTATTTTAAAGTCCCTAAGCAGCTGCTTACTGTGCTTAGTATTACAATTCATTTCTGCCACAGTATTTTTACACAAATGTCCTTGAAAAGCAAATTCAAATATTTAATATTTCTTGAAGTTTTATTCCTGAACCATTTAAGATTCCCACATTACATTTCAATTAGCTTTTGCATTGCTGGTTTGTTTCTTCCTTTAACCAGTGATTAGGTTGCCTTGACTGAATCAACCAGATGCTAGTCCAGATAAATGAAGCCTTTGTCTCATGGGCAGTAGACATTTGTCTGTGAAAGTTAACATTAGGTACTGGGTAGAGCTACTTATACTCTCCTGTTGTCAGCAACACTTGCATTCAGTTTTCTGCCTGCATAAGTGACATATAACCCCAGGCATATCCTCCTGTGGTTCACAGCATCACCAAGATTGACTCCTTCATGAAAAGAAAAAAAAATTGGTTGCTCTTATTGCTAACCTAGAAATAGAGGGCAGAGGTTCTCTGTTTTGCTTCTCCCCTATGCTCACATGTGTAAAAACTAACACTCAGTTTCTCAGATCACTTTTGAAGACCTATTTCATAGATCTTTTATTCCAGCTTGTAGATCAGTGATTCAATCTAAGATCATTCTTGTTAGTACATGATAAATGGCACATTGCCCTGGCCAGTGTTTCAGTGTTTCTAGAGCCTCGGCCTGTGTACAGAAGGGTCTCAGGTTCAGTTCCCAGTCAAGGGCACATACCTTGCAGGTTTGATCCCTACCCTGGTCAAGATGCAATCAATCCATGTGAATCTCACACTGATTTTTCTCTCTCTCTTTCTCTATCTCTCACGCGCTCTCTTCCCCCCCTCCCTGCCTCCCTCCCTTCCACTCTAAGCCAAATTTGCAACGTAAGCCAAATCTCCCAGATATGTTCAATTAAAACTGTTCTGGAACTTGAGGAAGAGAATCCCCCTTGTCCCCTATTTTGTTGAATTAAGCTAACAGACCTTGTGTAGGTCTTCTCGTCTATTTTATTGATGAAGAGCATAAGCCTCAAAAACATTTTTAATTGACTTTATGTTTAATATCATATTTTAAGATACTTTTATATATCATTTGATATTCCAATGGCTAAATAATATTCAATGTGTCAAGCCTCAGATTTTAAATTACCCATTTAAGGTCTCACTTTGCTTAAGTTGTGGAACTGATACTTAGGCCTATATCCATCCAATTTTAACACTGATGTCCCTTTTGTTTGGCCAGGCTGCCATCTGATTTGTCACATGTACTCTTGGCCAGAGAGTATTTATAGATAGAGGAACAAAACTAAGGGTGGTAGTACGGCCAGTGAAATTGTGTAAATATGTAATTTGCAAGGAGTTACCAGCATGTACTTACATCACTGCAAGTCATGTGTGTGCTGTGATTCAGACTCAGACTGACAAAGCAGTCAGCATTTCTAACAGCATGATACCTCACTGCAACATACAAGTGAATGATATCTGAGGAAACATTTCCAGCAGATCAAGTATTTAATAGGAGAGTGATGTTTCATAATGTACTTCTGAACTTGGAACATAGATATTTGGCCTAGGCTTCACTTTTATTATGTCAATGGTCAAATGATTAGGTGTAATGCAGTGTTCAATTGTATCAATCATTATTTTATTGATGTGCTTATGTACTCATTCATTTCTCTTTCAGGAAGCATTGCCATCATTGTGCCTCTGGTGCTCCTGGTGACTTTGATAACCACCTTAGTAATTGGGTTAGTGCTTTGTAAAAGAAAAAGAAGGTACGGTGCGATGTTCTAGACTAGCAGTTAACAAATAAATTGCACAGATAGTTACTGAAACATAGATAATTTTTTTAATTCGTTAAAACATAAATTATTTTAATTAAAATTCTGTTTTCAAACAATTTTATCCCTTTATTTCATTTTGAGTGGTTATAATTCAGACAACCCTTCTCCCATGTAATGTTGAGGAAATGTCTCCATTCGTATATTCTAATAAAACTAACAAGGGGAAATATTAATTAAAACTTTAGTAGATTTTACATGTGTGGTAGTTTTTCCTTGAAAACTCAAGAGTCTTTGAAAAGGATCGTATTATATTATGAAAGATTAGTAATGTAAATACAATGATACTGAATATGTATTATATATCAGAAATGGTTCATTTGTTTATTTTATATATTACTGGAAGTGTCATTTTAATATATATGAATATGCAGTTATAAAAATCCAGAAGGAGTGGGTTGTCTGTGGTTATCATCACAAACCAAGAGTGTGTGAGGCAGCTTTTGAATTATGTAAAAGAGGCTTTTTAGCCACGTGATTTTGGGGGATTGAAGGCGATTTATTTTAAATTTTTTATCATTTTTAAGGGATGATTTTCATTAAAAAAGGAAAAATCTAGAATTTTAAAAAGTAATTGATTAGTGAATATTCAGTTTCAACTAATGTGGAATTAGGTACTTAGGAGGAATATGTTCCAAGGGCATTTTTTATTACCCATTCTAACAAAAATAATAATAATAAGCTAAATAATTTGGAAAAATAGCATCACATTGTTATTTTTGTTCCTCTGTGACTTGATTTTGAATGAATATTTTTATGAACTTACCATAAGTGAATAAATCTATGAATATGATAGTTTGATAGTTTCATACACCATGATTGTGATATTTAAACTCATACTTAAACAATGTTCACATAATCCAGGACAAAAACTATTAGAAGACAACCTATTATCAATGGAGGAATAAACGTAGAAATTGGCAATCCATCTTATAACATGTATGAGGTGGATCATGATCACAATGATGGAGGTCTTCTAGATCCCAGTTTTATGATAGATCCAACAAAGGTAAGATGATGGGCAATGACTACTGACACTCTTGAGTCATAGCTCTGCAAAAATGGTTCTAAATTTAACAGTGTTTCTTTTTTCTGAAGAAAGAAGTTTAGGATGTACTAAATGTTATTGTCTCTTCTAAAGAAAAAAAAAATAAGATTGTGGACTGCGTTCACCTGAAGCGTAAAATTAGTACAACATGTTTTGGAAAATACATACTTATTTATTCACTTAATTTATAAACATGTAGTTTACTTAAAATAGCATCTTTCATTCAAATGTGTTGAGGTACCAGCACATCTAAATATACAGACTAGTGTAAAAGTACTGTCTGAAGTGCTTTTAATAATAAAAATACAGTACTTTATTGTCAAAATAAGTACTTCATTTCTAATAGTGTTTAATTGTAGACTCATCTAAATATTGCCCATGGATTTGTTTATAATCAAATCATTTTTGAAAAATATTTTTCTAGGTACTGTAATGTACTTTGAGACATGTCACTGATATATATATATAGTTTAAATAGCTACAGTTTTTTTTTAAGTTTCTGTAACCTTTTATTATTATATGTTCCTATTGGCACCTTTTAAGAGAAGTAAATGATACAATATCCAGATAAACTTGCAAAGATTCACTTCACTGTATTAGCTGAATATTTTGTATAATAATTATAGGATATTTTACTATGAATTAAGAACATCAATTTTATATGATGAATATTATTTTCTTAGTTTATTCATTAATTTGTTGAATATGTATTTTCTGATATGTAAAGGTACTATGTATAAAATATATCTTTGTATTACAAATAATCAGTGATCAATCTGTTCCAAATGGTTTTACATTCATAGCAACAGTTATTCTCAAAGAAGGTGAATTAAGTCCCATACATTTAAGCTAGTTCTGAATTCAAGGGTATTAAAGTCATTATTCCTAATTAAGAATAATTTTTATAGTTAGTATTAATTATTTAAGTAACCAACTCCTACATTTGAAATTCTTCATGAATAAATCCTTATAATCTAAGTTTCACTGTTTGCTACTTCAAATTTAAAAAGTATATACACTGAGAACATTGTTATTTGATAATTTATCTACGAAGGAGAAAGACATTATAAATAATAGATTTCTCATATTCTTTGAATTTTTCTTATAAATTAAAATATGGTACCTGTAAATATAATATGAACCAATGAGGACATATTAAAGCACACTTTTTATAAGAAGGAGGATTCTCATTTTTCCCATTATTTTTCCTTCTTGTGATAGAATTAAGCCAATTTTGGACACTTAAGGAAACTAGCTTCTTAGTATTCCATTTAAAAATGTTTCCACATTTACTCTAGGAAGATAAAACTATGCTTCAGTGCCCCTCAAATATATTTTAATATACTTAGCACATAACACTCAATGAATATTTATTTAAGCACATAACACTCAATAAATATTTATTTACCAATTTGCTGACTGATTGACCAAAATTCTATTAAATGTGACTAGATGGTTGATTCTAGCTGGCTCCTGATGTTGGAAATATAAATATGAATTGTCGCCTAAGAACTGCAGATAATAGGTAGTCCTAATACAGATAAGCAATTTTGAAAATCAGAGCGCCAGCTACATGGAAGAACCTTAAGGATAAAATGTTTTTCACAGTACTCACTGCATTACAATGCTTTGACATATTCATGATATAAGCAACTATATATAAACTAGAGGTCTGGTGCACGGGTGCGGTCCCTAGGCCTGGCTGGCGATCGAAGTGCGAGCATCTGGCATGGAAAGGCAGATCCCAGCTGACCTCTGGGCCCTTGGCAGCACCTGGGCCCCCGGGCCCCTGCGCGCCCCTCTCCACCTGAGTCATGGCTCCCGAGTCCCCACACGGAGATGCGGTGAGCATGGCCAGATGCTGCGGGCCGGGGCACAGCATGGGCCTCTGGGCTGCCCAGCGGTGCTGCACGGAAGCAGAGTGGACCACACAGTCCTCCTGGCCGGCCTCACAGACTAGCTCCTGTGTAAACCCACAGGGATTCCAGCCAGACTGGCCCTGTGGTCCCGGCGGCTGTGGCCCGGCTCACCCAGAGGAAGCCGCGCGAATGCGGGGTGGGCTCCTTGCAAGTGCCCAGCTCGTGAGCGCAGGGGCTTCCCCTGCATGTGAGCCCTGGTGTCCCAGGAGAGGGTACCAGGGGGAGTGAGAGCAAGCTTGGCGGACACCCCACATTCTCACTGCACATCCATCCCCGTCATCCCCGCCCCCAGGTAGTCAGCGAGAGGTCGCAGCGCGTCACTGACGCCTGCCATGTTCCGTGCCGCCCCCTGGTGGTCAGTGTCTATCATAGCAAGCGGTCGAACTCCCAGTCTCCTGATCAAACTCCTGGTCAAACAACCGCCCGAGGGGACAATTTGCATATTAGCCTTTTATTATATAGGATTGCATTGCATAAAGAAGATTTTGGTAGAAATCATTTATTGTTTTAAAAATAGATAAAATTTCTACTTAATAATACCTAATAATCAAAAGAAATGAAATGGTTAATAAAGTTATGTTTAAAAGTCTTGCCTATGAAGGCAATCACAGTATAGTTTGAAGAGTTCAAAAAAGGAAAATTAGTATTTACCGATTTTATCTCAAAATTTATTCAATTCTTACTTAGATTGTTTTAAGTATCTTCTAAATAAGACCCTTGGGGTGGGGGCGGGGGATAAAGAGGTGATATTGACCTAAATTTATGTTTAAAATATTTTCCTGACACCCTTGACCTTGTCCCAAATGTTGTGATCATTCATTGTTGCTAGTTAAGATTTTTAAAATATGTACATTCATTAAAATTTTCATATTCTTCAAATTTTCATCTAGTTTTTTTTCTTGAGGGTCACCAATAAATACTCTATTATGCATATGAGTGCATCAGATTGGCTAATTCTGCCCTTAGCCTCCAAGAAGTCTCAAGTCAGTACTCTTATATGAAGACTTAGTGAGCCAATTTAATTTCTAGTTAACGTGTTTTAGACTAACAGATTTCCAAAAATACAGATGTTTGTTTTATGCTATATTAAGTTTGTTTTTTCTGTAAAAATATGCAGTGGTGATGAATCTTTAATTAGAAGATGTCCGATACTTGAGTGTCCAGAATGGGCTACTGTCAGGAATTTTCAAAGTGACCAAACCTGAAGTCAGGGAGGCTGGTGTATTTTTCACAGTGCTGCTAGCAAAGATGTGATTTCATTGCGGAGGATAAAATTAAGTTAATCTGGACATAATAGAAATGTCAACCTATGGATCAAATATTTAATATCAATAGTCCTTAAATTATTAAAGCTACCATGAGTACATTGTTCATGCCCCCGGGTTTAAAAAAATGTTTTATGTTATCCTTATGACTTAACATGAGTTTATGTCAATGAAAAGAGTTCCATATTAGATGAGAAACTAAAATTCTCTGTTTGCATACAGGGCAGGTATATAGGGGGTGTGTCCAGTGCTTTCAAGCTTCCACATACAGCGCCACCCATCTACTTAAACTCTGATTTGAAAGGACCACTAACTGCTGGGGTGAGAGAAGCAAATTCATTATTTCATACCCATTCCATCATAGAACCTCTCACAATCAAAGACTATTACTAGATTTAGGTAGGGGCTTGCCTTTAATTGAGATTTTAATTAAGAAGAGATTTGAAAACAGTATTAAAATTGGGGCTGATGTTATGTATCCTGTCTATGAAAGATTACATGTAATACATGTTATCATTTCAGGCAAGCTATTAAGTAGAAATATTTGAAATATTTTTTCTTCTGAGTTTGAACATCTTATAGAACTTTAACAATAAACATGAGTCTGCTATTCTTAGAAATCTCTAGCTAGAGATTTAAACTGAATAATTTAAACTTAAATTTGTTTTCATACATTTCTTAAGATATTTTATTCAATATATACAAAGTTGATATCCAGTTAAATAAAAATATACTACAAACAAGGCCTCATCTTGAGAAATTAGAAATGGTCTAATAAAAGCATTCTCTTTTTTAATTAAGTAGCTAGCTTTTAGAGGAAAGTACTCTGTCTAAAGTCACATGGTTTATGTTAGAAGAGGGATAAAATAGGGTATCAAGTCTCCCATCAACTGTTTTTCATTATCATTTTTATCATGTTTGTCAACTGCATGGCTCAAAGATTATAATGTTTCTTTGATGTAACTAAGATTTAATGTTCTGCTTTTGGAAAGACAAAGGAAACAAACAGAAAAAACTAAAACACTAGGCAATGATTTCTTGGGTTAAGTTGCAATTAGTAAAATATGAACATTTGTATATCTTTTCCAAATGAAAGAGATCATTTCTGCAGGTTTGAATTCTACTTCAATATGCTCTAAATATCTGTGCAACCTAAGATGACTAGGTACTACTCAATGCCTTGAAAGAATACAAAAATATTTCCAGTGATAAGTGCATAGAGGTTGTTTGAAGCAAAAAATATTGTCTTTATTTTAAAATCTACTCCACCAATGTATTATATTTTTCTTTTCCTTTGTTTTCGTGCTTTTAACTTCATATTGAAAAATTATCAGCACTGAGCAATTAGATGATTTTCTGTAAACACATTTTTCCTGTCATTGCAATAGCAATAAGGAGGGAAAGCATATGGACTAGAAATAACACATTAGTTTCACGTTTTATGCTTTTAAGTAAAATCTCAGGGAATATAGAGTTCATAATGATTTCTTTGGGACTTTAATATTTATGTTAAAGCTCCCATTAGGTTCACAAGTTACCTGAAAAACATGCAATTATGATTTTATCTAATACCATGCTAAAGTCAACAAAAGCATATACATACAAAATTAAATTACATTGAAATCATTACTATTTAATAAGTTAAAAGTATTGCATATAAATATTGTCAGCATTAAAAGACAGACATCCTAGAAAATAGCTAATTAATGTGGTGAACACTGATAATAGAATTGTACTTATCTATTTTTTTCTCCTTCAGCCAACAAATTACTCCAATCCAGTGTATGCAAAATTATACATGGATGGGCCAAACTGTCGAAACTCCTTAGGAAGTGTTGACGAAAGGAAAGAACTGCTTCCAAAGAAAATAGAAATTGGAATAAGAGAGACAGTGGCATAATCAGCGATGCCTTTTATATACTGTAAAAATGTATAAAATATAAGGATTACTTTTGTATGTTCCAACAGTATTATACTTGTTTTGGCATCAGCATTACCTCTTTCTTTATCTTTTCCCTGGTTAATTGTTTTCTGAGTTTTATTTTTTGCTGATGACCATTGATTGACCATTTGTATGGTATTTTTATGAAACAAGAACTGCACTACAGTACAATTTACAACAATGCTGCTGATATGACACCCCTTTGAATTTGTTAAAATTAAAAACAACATATTCCTTTGTAGTGTGAATATGAGCAATCTATTTTATATGAAATTTTTTGGTTCTACTTAATCCACAGAGTGAGTCTCTATACTTTTTCATTATGTGATCTGAAACCTGTAATACAATGTCATTTTACTTTTATGTTTCAATTGGTAAAAGAATGATTGAAAGGTTGACTCTCTTCTTTGCGCCCATTAAGATGGATTCCTACTTCTGAAAATATATAGCCCTCACAAGTTCAGCATCTCCTGCTTTGAAATTAGCCTTAGATTGCCAAGTGATAGATGAGAATTTTGAGGAAAATCTTTGAAAATATATAAAATGAATAATTTGCATGAACACATATGACTACATTTTCCAAAATTTAGTGAACTATATGAGGTATACTAAACATATATACCCTGCAACCAATAGTTATATTTAGGTGGTAGAACATTGCAAAAATATAACCCAGAGTGGAAAAACCACATTGCTATGTGATAAGACCTTTTGTTCTCCCTCAGTCCTGAGGTAAATAGCCAGCCTAGAGCACAACAGGGTATTGGTTGCTGACCTCTTAGAAATCTCTTCCCAATCATGTTCATTTTGTGGAAGAGTAACCCAACCCCTTCCCACACAGAACACTAAAGAATAATACATAAGCACACAAATTGATGACAGAATTTCAATTATGTGAATGCATTTTCTTTTCTAGGTCAAAAAGAAGAAGCAAAACAGTCATTATGGTATAGAGTAATTGATAAATATTTTCAAGATACAGTATGACTAATTCATTATTTTCCCTATTAAAATTATATTCTTAAAGGACTTGCCCAGTTATAGGATAATTAATTATCTGCCCGTAATCAAAGGTGGAGGGAATAAATGCTGACCAGTTTCCCTGGTAGCCTGGTTTCTTTTTGTTATGCAAAAACACATGGACCCCATTCACTGGTTTGTTTGTTTTCAATTTTTAATTGAAACAAGTACGATTTATTTAAGTTGTATAAAAAAGGATAGCATTTTTATACAAATATCTTTAAAGGCACAAAAGATTTATTCACAAGGTATGGAGGGCTTTTTGTTCCTCTGATAGACATGACTGACTTTTAGCTGTCATAATGTATTAACCTAACAGATGAAATATGTTTGTGGTTGCTCTTATCCCTTTGTACAAGCATTAAAAAAAAACTGCTGTTTTATAAAGAGACTTTTTGTTGTACTATGTGCATGCATACTACCTATTTCTAAACTTTGCCATATTGAGGCCTTTATAAACTATTGATTTATGTAATACTAGTGCAATTTTGCTTGAACAATGTTATGCATATCATAAACTTTTTCAGGTTCTTGTTTAAGTACATTTTTTAAATTGAACAGTATTTTTCATTTTGGTTATAATAGTCATTTTGCCTATGTTTCTACAATGAAGTGTTAAATACTTTATAAAAAATTGTTGACTGACTTATTTAAATGAAATTCTACATATTTAAGTATGTGTGTTGGGTAGTTTTTAAAAATAAGAAAATTCCTATCTTTGTGGATTTAATGTTCCGAGAAAATTATTTTAGTAAACAGGAGACATAATTTTTGTTATAGCCTTAGAACATATTATCTGGGGTAAGATTAATTTTATTACATCATTTTTAAAAGCACAGTAGAGAAGGCATTTTCCTTCTTCTTGAATCAGAAACATTTCCCCTTACTTTTTCCTTTTCTCCTGTCTCATATTGCTCATCAGAGACTTCATGTTTCAATAGAAAGAAAGATGGGTTACGTACACAGTCTATGACAATCATGTTGAAATAATCCAAAGCTCTCAGTGACCCTTTCCATTCTAAAAAGCGAACTTTATGGAACACTCAGATTCCATTAGATGTTGTTTGGACATTGATTTGTAAGTGGGATGGTTATTGGTGTACCTACTTGGAGTATCGGACTAGGAATGCACATGAGGGTCTGATTTACTGGTGCTGTCACTGCGTTATGTTATCTGAAGGGGCCTTCTTACACCAGAGCTTTATGACTATAACTGAAGTTATTATTTGAAAGGAACAGAGCTCACATATTGGAATGACCTTGATACAACTAACATTAGCATACATATCTAGCAAATCATATATGACATACAAGAAACCAACCAAGACTCAGGGTCAGGCATCTGTGACCTCATTCTCAGTAGAGAACTGGTTAAAGCCATAGTTAGGAAAGCTTAGGATGTGCTTCTTAACCCCTAGGCCCTATTTACATTTTTATGGGCCTTATTTCCACATTATGCTTAGCCACCTCAGGCTGGTTCACTCAAGACCACCTCAGAGTTCAGAGTTCTGTTTGCAACTACTTTGCATCTAGTCTTTGTAAGATAAAGACATTTTTCTAAGTACTCTATTTATTTATATTGTTCTAGCTCTTTCTATTTCAAATTTCTTTTGCAAAAATTCATATAAATGCTATAAATTCAGGTGCATAATTCTTCTATATGTGGCCATTCTATATACATGCCATCACTCAAATACTCAACAAAATGTGTAATCAAGCTTCAATGGACATATTTTTTAAAAATGAATGGTTCCTAGTAAACTCTCCTTCTTACCCAAACGCCTTTCATTCCAAAGGAAGGTTCGTCAACCTCCTAATATTTTGGGCCAGGTAATTCTTTGTTGTACTTTATAGGGTAGGATACTTAGCAGGATTCCTTGCCTCTATCCATTATTTACTACTGGCACCACTCAGAATTGCAACAACCAAAACTAACTACAGACATTGCCAAATATCTTCTGGAGAACAAAACTATTGTTGCTAAGAACTACTGATCTAAGGCTGTGTTGTCTTCCACTGTTAAATAACAGTCAGCTGGAACAGCTGAGTCAATAAAGAGATCCCCCCTTATCATCAAATTCATGACATTCCAAGTTTTGATCTTAATTCTTTAATGCTGATGATGCATGAGTTAATAGTAAACTGCCTATGTAATAAAAAGTTAATACTAAGGGAGAATGTTTTATTTAGAAACTGATACGGTTTTACACAAATTGGGCCATTTTCATTTATGTAATTGTGTTTTATTTGTGGCTATTTCATGTCTTGACCATGTTTTGTTTTGCTTTGTGTTTGAGTTCATTATGCTTGTTTTGTTGGTTCTTGAGGTTGAGATTTAAGCTTTATCTTTACTTCTAGGAAGCTACTTTCCATTTTTATGATTCAAATATGAAGACATTCAATGCTCAATGTATGTTATAGCTCTTATAATGAACTAGTATAGAATGCATAATATCCATAATTTCCAAATCCTTAACAGGGAATATTGGTATATGTGATAAAGGAAATAGAAAACATATATATTGCTAATTTTTCTTTATCCTCTCTCATCTCTATATCATCATACAGATACTCGATGTAAAATCTTACTTCTCTCTAAAAACACATTATAATATTATTTATAGATTCAACTCTTTCTTTAAAAAAGATTAAAATGGAAAAGACTAAGAATCCTGCAGAGTTGAGAACAACAAAGCTAACCATTTTTTGAAAGAGATATTCTTCACATTATGCCCCATTCTAGTTATTGTCAGTTTTTAAGGATGACTTTCTCAATATCAGGTGACATATTTAAATTTAATGTAGATTTGAGTCATTATTTAAATTAGAAGTTTTTAATTATAGCTTGCAGAAAAAAAAACCTCAAACACATCTTTGTGATGACAACCACGTAATATAACACACAAAAAAATTATTTTTCCATGTATTTTGAATGTAGAAGAACAAAAACAAAAAGAGCCAAAAATGGTTCATTTTTCAATTCTGCTGCCAAATCGATTGCTGAGTTAACATTTCCAGAAAATTAACTCATCCAGAAAAATATAAAGATAACTGAAAGTACATGAAAGCAGTTTCATTCAGAAAAAAAAAAAGTTTTTATGTCATAATATCCATAGGCCCAGGGATATGCACTTTATTCCATACTGTGCATGTATCTAGTCTCCCCCCTTCACCCCCACAAAAAAGAGAGATAAATGAAATGAGTTCTCCAGTTCAACTTTTTCACATAGATATAATACATATGTGACTGCTATTTATTCTGAAAAGTAGTTTCTAGTGAATCCAAACATTTTTTGTATCCAAAGTGATAAAAAAACAAAAGAAAAATTGGTACTAAAGATGGCCTATTTGATAAATTCTATGCTTAAAATGTGTTCATTTTTTCTGATGGATGTCTGCCCCTTCCGCACATGGTATGTTAGATATCAACGAACTTAAGCAATGCAATCCTGATGCTGTAGTTATCTGTTTACTCCAAGATT